GCAGATAGGTAGAAATAAGAAGGCCCTGAACGCTAAACTAATGAGACTTCATCCTAAAGGTAATGGAAAATGCATTCATTTTAAGTAGAGATAGGTCAGATTTAAGTTCTCAAAAGAGCATACCCCAACCAATCAGAAGACAGGACTAGAGGAAAGAGACTCAAGGCAAGGAGAATGGGGAGAGGCTAGCAAGTATTCCAGAAGTGATAAGGACCTCCAAGAAGGTAGCAGCAGTTGGAAACAACACAAAAGCAATCTATGGTTCTGAATGGCTGTGAGTGGCTCCCAGACTCGGCTGCACCTTAGAATCACCTGGGGACTTATTCAAACTCCTGCCACGTAGGTCTCACCCCAGACCAATGGAGCTGGCATCAGGATTTTGTAAGATTACTCGGTAATTCCAAGGTGCCCCCAGGCTCAGGAACTACTGGGGGAGGAGCAATGTTGGAAGAGTGGGTTTGAGGAAGAGGAAAGGCTCAGTTCTGAACATGTTAGTTTAAGATGCCTGCGTCTGGCTAAGCGTGAAACAGGCAGTAAGGTATGAAGTACTAGGCTTAGGATAATTGGTGTTAATTGGTATCTACTGGATACCAGTCAGAATGGCCAATATTTGCTGGCTAGCTGCCAGGTGTCAGGCACTTGGATAAAGTGCTTTCCATTTACTGACTTGATAACTCCCCTAGTGACACACGCACCTCAATGCTTATAGCAGCATTACCAAAATAGCCAAATGATGGAAATAGCTCAGATGTCAATCAACTGATGAAGGGATAAAGAAGAGGTGATATTTGGTATATCTATATCTATATAATGGAGTATTAGCCATAAAAAGAATGAAGTCTTGCCACTTGCAACTACGTGGATGGAACTAGGGTGCATGAAGCTAAACGAAATTAAGTCCATCAGAGAAAGACAAATACCATATGATCTCACTCATATGTGCAACTTAAGAAACAAAACTGATGGGGATCCCTGGGTGGCTCAGCAGTTTAGTGCCTGCCTTCAGCCCAGGGCGTGATCCTGGGGTCCCGGGATCAAGTCCCACATCAGACTCCCTGCATGGAGCCTGCTTCTCCCTCTGCCTGTTTCTCTGCCTCTCTCTCTCTCTCTCTCTCTCTCATGAATAAATAAATAAATAAAATCTTTAAAAAAAAAAAGAAACAAAACTGATGAACATAGGGGAAAAACCAAAGAGGGGCAAACCATAAAAAACCATTCTTAACTACAGTGAACAAACTTAAGGCTGGTGGAGGGGAGGCGGGCAGGATGTTGGGGATCGAGGGCACTTGTGATGAGCACTGGGTGTTACATGTAAGTGATGAGTCACTAAATTCTCCTGAAACCAATACCACACCACATGTGAATGAACTTGAATTTTAATTAAAACTTCAAAATCAAAATAAAAAATAAAACTCCACCAGTGACGCACTGAGGTCAGGACTATTATTATACCCATTCTACAAATGAGTGTTTTACACACAGTACCTAAATCCACGTCTCCCAACAATTCTCTGAGGTTGGTGATTGTCATCATCTCTGTTTTGCAGAGAAATCATAGCCTACAGATGTTAAATAACATGCCCAAAGTCACACAGCTAGTATCAGAGGAAGGATTTCATTTTATTTTTCTTCTTCTCTTCAGAGGAAGGATTTCAAGACAGGTCTAACTTCAATGTTGCAGCTAAAGCCATAGGGAAGGTAATGTTGCCCAGAAGACATTCTGGGAAGGCAAGGAGGAGACCCAGTCAGAAACTTAGCGAATACCAGTGTTTAATGCAGAGGATGAAGAGCCCTGGTTGGATGGAAGGAAGGGGGCAGAAAGAGGGAGATACAACAGAAACAAAAAAAAAACCATGACAGTTCAGAGGAGAAAGATTTATAAGATAAGCACCAAGAAATAACCCACTGATATAGCAATGGGGAGGTGACTAGAGACAGAATTGGAAACCAGGCCTTGGTATATGTGACTGTTGAAGGTAAAGAAATGATAATTATCGCAGCCTATCTTTTCAAGAGGTCTAGCTGTTAAAAGGAGGATGTAAGAGCAGTGACTACAGGAACGTAGAGGATGGAAAAGTAATTACCCTTTCCCTTGGGGAAATGAGAGTAATTGAAGCATAATCGTATCGTAAGGAAAAAAGGCCCGTCGAAAGGTTGAAGACTCAGAAGATGAGATATTTGATGAGCAAGGTCTTTGAAGAACCTGTAGTTCTGGGTAGGAAATGAATTTCTTTCCTAGATATGGGAAGAAAGGAGGCAAAGTGGCTTGCATATAGGGGTGAAAAGCAGATGGAGTTCCACTGTTTGCTTGGCAGGAGAAGAGGCCATAATCGATTTTCAGAGTCTTTTACAAAAGCAATGGCCTGCATCATATTTGGAAAACAGTGAAATGGTCCTATACCAGAAAGTAGAGGTTGAGAAGCATGATCCTAGAGCACCAAAACTAGAGCCTGCCAGAAAAATTGAGGCAGGATGGCAGACAGGACAAAAGTCAAGGTAGACTAAGAATCATGAGTCATGGGTAACTTGCTTGTAAGAGAGGGGTTGCCCCAGTAGACGTTGGGACTTGAGATGAGATAAAAGTCAGGGGCACAGGTTTCAAGGACCGACCAAAAGTTTCAAGGAAGTGGGGAGAAGGGCCAGAAATCAGGCAGACAACAGCATGGAGGGGAGCTGAGGGTGATTCTTCATCTGAATCTGCTACAAATAGAGGTATTCGGTTCCAGTGCTGGTGAGTACACTCTTCAACTGATTTTACTAGAGAGGATATGCTATGCAGCTGTGAACGTGGGTATACGCAGACTGATCCCTGGCTGAGAGCAGATAATGTCGGCCAGAAATCCCTCCCCAGCTGAACGTTTCCATCATGCAAAATTCTAGCACACATACCTTTTCAGCAACTGTGCGTATTTCAGTTCCGGTATATGTGAATTTGGAGTCACTCCTTTTGGGGATAAATTAGGGGAAAAAAGGGAACTGAGGCTTGGAATATAAAAAGATGTTAAAGCAAAGTAACAAGCTTAGCAGTTCTTGCCATGATACCTTAGCAGAGACAGAGGAAGTGTGGCTAAGTACATCATATTTGTTCCCTGGGAAAGTGAAATTTCTAGAATTGAAGGCATTAGGAGGTGGGTGTGAGAAGTATACAGTGAAATTTAAATAAAGGTGACTTAAAGGTTTTGTCACCTTAATTAAGCATTCACGTTACTGGGCATCTCTGGGGTCACTGGAGGGCCCACCAGAGGAGGCTGGGCCAATGACAATAGACCGAAGGAAGGAGTCAATAGAGGGAAATATCTGGTAATGTGCTTATTAGGCGCCAGAGAGAAAATCACCTGTGTTTCATTGTCCTTTCGCTGGAGAGAGAACGTACAATGCGTCCAGCAAGGAAGCGGAATATAACATCATTGTGAGAATCCAGTAAATTCTATTTATAAGAGCTTTCAGCGATTCAGTCATGATCTCGGTACTGCTACCCGTGTCTTTTCACATAAGGACATGCATGTAGCGAAAATCGTCCTTGTAGGAAGTAGGGTCGAAACCAAGTTTCACGGTTGGGGTGGAATTGAAAGTGTATCAATGAGGGAGCTCGGAGTCATAATGGAAACTTCGAGTACGAGTCATATAGAATGTTGCACACCTTGTGCTGGGTCAGTTAACAGTGCTACGGAGATCCCAAGAGAGGAGGAAATGAACATGGTCTTACCTTGTGTCATCATTCAACTAGAGTGGGAAAAAGCAGAAAAGATTATTGATCACATTTTGCTGGTTTGGTATCAATGGGTGGAGATTGCGTGGAAGTGGGTCATGTGCTCCTGTCCAGCGGCACCAAGGACTGGAGGGTTAGGAGTTCGGGGTGTCCGCGAGGGAGAGTTAAGCCCCAGGTGAAGCTTGGGGTGTGTGGTTCTGTGGAGGGCGGCCGGGGGCGTCGGCGGGCTCTGCTGCGCCCCACACGGCCGCGTCCCCATTATCCTCAAGCGTGTCTCCCGCCTGAGACGGCGGCGGTCGGGGGGCGATACCTGCAGCCGTGGGGACGTGACGGCGGCTGCTAGCGGGACTCGAAGGCCGACCCGGAGGACGGCGCGATCGCGGGGGCGGGCGGGCTCCGTGCGGAGCCCCGGGACGCGGGGCCCTCACTACCTGAGCAGCGAGCGGGCCGGCCGCAGCCTCCGCAGCGCCGGGCTCCGGCCGCGGCTGTTCCGGGCGCCTGCCCCGGGGGCTTCCGACCGGGCTCGCGGGGCGCGCGACTCACCTCCCCGATGCACAGCCCCATCACCTCCTCCTTCTCCGTGCTCAGCGCGTGGTTGAGGCACACCAGGAAGGCGTCCGACTCGAGGTGCACCGCCTGCACCGCCTGCACCACCTGCCCCGCCATCTTGGTCCGACCCCGCTCGCGTCCGCCTCGGCCCGCCCGGGCCTGGCCAACCGGCTGCGGCGGCGCGCGGGCTCCGCGGGGGCGGGGCCGGGGTGCGCGGGCGGGGCGGGGCCGCCGGGCGGGGCGGGGCGGGCGGGCGCGCGGAGGCGGGGCTGGGGCGCGGGGCGGGGCCGGGGCGCGGGGCGGGCGGGGCCGGCCCGGCGGCACCTGGGAGCCGCCCGCGCCGCTCGGGGCAGGCGTGGCCGTCGGGCGGAGGGCGGTAGCCGGCCGCGGTCGGGGCGTCAGGCCGGGCGGCGGCGCGGGCGGGGAGGCGGCGCTCGCGGGCCGCGGGCCGACGTGGTCTGTGAGCGGCGGCCGGGCGGCCGGGCCGGCGCCTCCCGAGCGCCCGCGCCCATTTTGCGCGCCCGCCGGGGAGAGCGGCGCGCGGCCTACACGCCGCGGGGACAGCCCTTGAATGCGGCCTCGCGGCGCGCGCCGGCCTCTTGAGCCCGGGGCGCGCGCTTGCGAATCCCGCTCCTCAGACGGTTCAGGATTGATTTTATTGCGCTTTGTTTCCAAGTTCCGCTCCCTGAACCTCGTACAAGTCTCCCCGGAGCACTTCCGGGTGCCGGCCCTCGCCTCGCAACTTCGGTCCGGGTGACCTCGGGCTCGTTGCACGCTCACGTCCCGATCGTGGCTGGAGTGGCCCAGGGCGGGGGACCTGGAAGTTTGAGCCTCGCTGCTCCTGAGGCGGATTAATTAGCCCAAGAAACACTATATTCATGTGAGTAACCTCTTCCAGAAACAGTGCTATACTGTATCGGAAAAAGTGTCACTCTCGAGCGCGGCCGCTGCGGTGTGCCACAGAGGCGTGCACGCACTCGCGTGTCCCGCACGCAGCACGGGAGCGGGGGACAGCAGGCAGGCGCCGAGGGCTGCGGGGACCGCGGCCGGCGCCCACGGTGCACGGCGCCCGGCTCTCCTGGCCTGGATGCGCTCAGACGCCGGGGAAGTCGGTGCAAAAGCAGCTTCGTTCTCAGGGATGTCAAACGTGCCACGGGTTGCAGTTCAGATCTTGCAACTCCCTAGGGCTAGCAAAGACACGTGCATGGTAGGCAGCGTGCGAAACCCAGGACAGGTACGTGCCGTGCCGCCCGCACAGCCCATCGGGACTCGCGTCGCGGGGCTCTGGCTTCTAGTCCCACCAGGCAGTACTGGAAAGGGAACGTTCCCAGGGGGCTACGTGAACAGGTGTTGATGCTTTGCTCTTTTCTCCCAACTCAGTCCCAGTCCAAGCCCCCCCCCCCATAGGCCGGCATCCACTGAAATTATCTATGACGCTGTGCCAGCAACTTGCATTTGCCCCTAATGCTTAAGGATCACATAGCACCTCTTTCCATGACTCCTTTTGATGAGGGTGAAAACGGGGCAAAACCTCCACTATGCACTTACATTGGACAATCGAAATTCCCTCTTAACTTTCCATTTGACCTCGTACTTGACATCTAGTTACTGGCCATGGCTAGCACACCATGCCTTAAGGTGACAACAGTGGCTACGCAACTCTTAGTTTAGCAATGGGATACTCTGACTTTATAAACTGCCTTTACGCACCTGCTATATAAGTCAATCTCAAATGTCACGACATTCTCTGACTCCCTTATACTGCTCACAGCCAAATTGTATGGTTCTAAAGGGTTAACTGGGCTACACAGAAAGACTATTGAAATTTATGACTTCCTCTGCGCTAGTCCCTCAACCAAGCATTTATATGCCTTTATGTGTAAAGTGTCACACTTGTAATCAGAGTCTAGAACCTCATGCCTGTGTTGTGGATTCATGCAACTGACCTAACTTCTCTGTTCCTTGCTTCTCTCATCCTTAAGTGGGATCTATAAGACTCTCCATCTAATCAGGTGATTGTAAATATTAAAGGACTCAATATAAGTATATGAGTGCGAAACAAGTGGTGCCCATTATGGTCAATATGTTCTTATGCCTCATTTTACACCTCAGAAAACTACTGTAGAGATGTTCACTTGTCCCAAACCACAAACCTAGTAACTGCCAGACTCTGGATTGATACCCTGACAAGGCCGACTCCAGGGCATGTGTTCTTAGTGATTTCATCCATTGTAATTACATCAGTTTATTGCTTCGATTCAAGGAAAATAAGTGTGCTCAACTGATAACTGTTTAAGAATTGTTCAAACACCTGGAAATTGTAGTTCATTATGATTTTCTTAAGGAACCCTTTCTATGTTGCATGTCATCCATTTAAAACATGATTTATGATGGCCTTTACTAGCAAATACTTTATCTATGCCAGTATGATCTTGACCCAACACATCGACGTGACCCCCCCCCACCATGAGGACAATGTGATTTACAGTCTTCATGAATGATGAAGCCATATAAGCACTTTTTGAATCCACTTAATTCAAAGACAGTAGTACTCCTTAGAGTTGAGTGGAACAGGTTCATGTTGTGTATTATATTGCATGTTGTACCTCAGTTGATCTTGGAAATTTAAGACATTCATCAAAGTGCAAGGGGTTGTGAATTTTGTGAACAAGTTTCATGTGCAGAAAATTGTTCTCCAGTCAAATGATTTTGGGAAATGTCAAACAAAATAAACTTTCTTCACTGTGTTACTTGCCAGAGCTTTACTACACTAATAAGAGCTTTATGACTGAAAGATTCCCAAACTTATTTGACCAAGGAAAATGTTAGGGGCAAGTGTTCCAAGGATCACATTTTAGGGAAACAGTTCACGATTCATACAACCTGAGATTTGATGATCCTTCATCTGAATCTTTCTCACTCAGCCTTTGCTGTTCTCTTGTAGCGAGATTGTTGGTACATCCTCATATGTCAGCTTCTTGGTGAGTGGTAGCCGAACTTCAGGGTCAAGTGCTGGGGTTTGTTCCCAGGCTCATCTTACTGATGCCCAGCATGTTGGCCTTTAGGTCACAGCAGCTCATCACACTGCCTTTCTTCTGAGAATATTTCCTAGTGACTCATAGGTCCCTTTGTAGTAATTCATAGTAACTCAGACTATCATCTCCAATTTATTTGCCCTCTATACCACTGGAATCATTTCCTTTTAATGTCAAGGTAACCAGTACAATTTTGCTTCTCTTTCAAAACATTTACTTTTTAAAAAGATTTTTTAAAGATTTTATTTTATTTATTCATGACAGACACAGAGAGAGGCAAAGACCCAGGCAGAGGGAGAAGCAGGCTCCACGCAGTGAACCTGACATGGGACTCCATCCCGGGTCTCCAGGATCATACCCCAGGCCAAAGGTGGCGCCAAACCACTGGGCCATCGAGGCTGCCCTTAAGAAAGATTTTTATGGATTGATTTGAGAGAGAAAGAGTACAAGTAGGCAGGCAGAGAGGGACAGAGGCAGAGGGAGAAGCCCCGATCTGGGGCTCCATCCCAGGACCCGGGGATCATGACCTGACCCAAATGCAGACGCTTAACAAACTGAGCCACCCAGTCGCCCCCAAAACACCTTTGAATGTCAATATCTTAGTTGTCTATCTATGAATGGACCTGTCTGTGAACGTGACATGGTACTGAAACTCTTAACCCTTGGTTTCTGTTTTTTTTTTTAATGGCCATACTTATTTCTTTTGTGCTCGACGTCCAGACTTTAATATGTTTTATCTTGACATTGATATTTGCTTGGTTTTTCTTTGTATCTCTCCTTTCCAAAGCCCTGCGGAAAAGGAGATGCAGAACGGTTGTTATCTGCTAAATGGAAAGAAATGGCCTTGAAAAATATATAGTTATATGATATCCCTAAGGAATCAATCTCAACCCATGTATAGGTGGTCTTTAGCTGTTTCCACTGTCAGTAAACATCCACTCACAGGAACACTGACTAGTATTGAGACTTAGGGTGCCCAGGACTGTATCATTCCTGTTATCGAAGAGCTTATAATACAGTATTTGGGGAGGCACACAAGGCTTGTGAAATAAGCAGAGCAAATCTGAAAGGCAATTCGTAGAGGCCAAAATATGAGCTTACGCTCAGACATAAATGCTGCAGTGGTCCCAGGAGGCAGGAAGTGTTCATCGAGAAGGCAGGCACCCGTATTGTGCCGTAATGGTTCTGAGATAGACAGAATGGCCTGGGGAGGCATTTGAGGCAAGTAGAAAGCAAGAGCAAGGATTTGGAACCAGAAATGAGCCTAGTATTTAGGACAAATACGGTGGCAGTGATGCTTGCTGGAATTGGTGGCAGATAGGACGTAGCAAGTAAAGGAGGGGAAAAAGTCCAAGATCACTTGTAAGTTTTGAGTCTGCAGGATCAGGAGAGGTGCTCTTGCCACTGAGAGAAACTGGGATTTGGTGCAGGAGAAGGGGTTCCTTCCTGGCTAGGTGAGTTTGAAATAAGAGAACCCTGTAAGATGGAAGCTTAAGATGGGCTCAGAGTCCACTGCATTCGAAGTACAATGGGTGAAGCAACTATGATGCTCTTACATCATCCACTGAAATCAGACCATTTCTTAAGTCTATAAAAGATGCCTTCTACTTTCAGCGAAGGCGAACTCACAGTGTCAAGGGGGGGGAATCAGACTCAGATTATTGTCCTTGAAAAGAGGGCATCTCCTGTGCTCTTGACAATCTCAATTTAGTGGTATAACAATGTCCCGAGATGGGGTACAGTTCCTCTCCTACCGAGAGGCCACCTGATGAGAATAGGATGCCTTTGTTTTGTGGGGCAAATGCCCCAATGCTGTATGTGCCCTGGCAAAGGTAGAAATGCAGTGAAACCATGCCGTGATGCTGGGGGCCAGGTACAAGCAACACACTCCTCCACAAGGCAAGGCAGGTCGAGTGCTGCTGAGGCCCTGAAATGAGATCCCGAGCTAGGCAGAGAAGCCTCACGGGGTTAGAGCCGAGTTCTGGAAGGAGTTTGCCCAGGAGGCTTGCTTCCTTCCCGCCTCTCCAATGGCAGAGGGCTTTTTCTGGCTTTCTGACTTGGGAAATCAGGATTTAAATGCATACACACCTCTGTGGGAAAACGGGCTCCTGAGACATCCTGAGGCGTTATTGACATGAAACCAGGACCTAGATGGATAAGGATCACTTGCTCTCAGCTCCAAACCACCGTGACCCCCAAAGTCTTTTGGAGCTTCAAAATTCCATGAAGCTACCTTGAATATGTTCCTTAACACGAACAGCCCAAGTGCTATAAGTGACCTTTCTAAGTAAACTGCTAAATAGGCCGCTTGTCCTTGGGACTTTTAATTCGGAAAGCGCTGCATAGGATTCAGCCTTCACGAGCCTTTACAATGGGACTGCTTGGAAGGGGCTTTCGCCTGGGGAATCTGGCTCACGTGTCCTTTGTTACACTGCTTTCCTGCCCAAATACGTGCCCTCAGGCACACTCCTGAGCGTCCTCTGGTGCTAACTACCCTTTGTCCGATGCTGCTTTGTGAATGCAAAGACTGTGACCCCCCCCCCCCAGCTTCCCGAGGTGCTAGGCCTGCAGGTCCACAGAACTTCCCGCTGTGCTGAGGAGCTGAGCGCTTCACAGTCAACCGTTAGCTTGACCTAAGCCTCTGCCGAGTGTCGCTTCAGGGTCTTGCGGGGAGCTTCAGATGGCCCTGGCTCTATTTAGGCCGCGCAAGTGGACGGATGCGATACGAGTTTTGGTTCTGGTTGGTGATTGCTAGTACCAGGTCACCTTGCTCAATGGATGAGTTCATTCAAACCCAAAAAGTCACACCTGTGTCCTGTGCGCGGGTGCTGCAGGCTTAGGTGGAGAAAAGCAGGGCTAGAATTGGAACCCAAAGCCCAGGATGGCAGGAGAGGATGTGGGGGCTCCACCCGACCGCCTCTGGGTTCACCAAGAGGGTATCTACCGCGACGAATACCAGCGCACGTGGGTGGCCGTCGTGGAAGAGGTAACTGTTTACATTTGGCTTCTCTTTTGTATTTTATTGATTTTGCTTTCAAGCAACTTGGTTTCTAACCAGTCTCAAAAGCCTGAAATCTCTGCTTTTATTTTTGATCATTTTTTTCCATCAGGAGACGAGTTTCCTAAGGGCACGAGTCCAGCAAGTTCAGGTTCCCTTAGGTGACGCAGCTAGGCCAAGTCACCTTCTTACCTCCCAGCTACCTCTCATGTGGCAACTCTACCCTGAGGAGCGCTACATGGATAACAACTCTCGCTTGTGGCAGATCCAGCATCACTTAATGGTACCCGTGTTGCTTAATCATTTTCCATTGTATCGGGGATCTTACAACAGAGTACTCTATAAACTTTTCTTTTTCTGACAGGTCAGGGGAGTACAGGAGCTGTTGCTTAAGCTTTTGCCTGATGATTAGCCTGGTATGTATTTCTATTTCTCCCCTGTTCTCCTGTCTTCTTTTGTTTGCCCTATTCGGTTGTGGTGATTTTGATGATCTATTTTTTTTCCAGGTGCTGGGATTCTAGGAAGATATGCTCCTCTGTTCTGTTCAGTATATGGCAATCACTTCATCCACCACTGCAGTGCACCCACCTGTGGGCCTGGGGGGAGGAAGTGGGTTGAAAAACTGCTCAAGAACACAGAAGCTTAGGAAGGGCCATGAAGAACAGCACGAGTGGAACTGCAGAGAGAGGGTCACGCAGGCAGAAAGCAAGTCAACAAAAGCACTTAGTCAGGATACGTAACTTGAAATTGACTCCTTTGGAAATTGCCATAGAACCTTTAATGGACATCATCAGCTGGAACTGGGATCTGATGAATCCCACAAAAGTCAGCACCTGCTACAGAACAGATGCCCTGATCACCAAGGACTTGGTACTGATTTAGAGAGAAGAGAGCAGCTCCTAGCAGCATCAACATCTATTTGTCGCTTATTTGCCCTGCAGCAATTCACCTGCCTTTCCTTCTCCCATCCTGTAAATATCCTAGGTTTTGCTCCAGTGTTTCCCCTCCCAGTACTGACCTAACTTGGATCTACTGAGAACTTAGGGGGCTCTGAAAAAAAAAGAGGAGGTTATTTGAATGAATGAAATTAGCTACAAAGGCTCCTGGGCCTTTTTCCTTTCTGAAATTGTGCCTTCAAGTTATTAGAGGTTGCTGATCAAGATCATGGGCACTTAAATTCATTCTCTGGTTACAGATTATTTTTAAAAAGATGGTTTCTGTAAGAGCTCTGAAAATTATTGTAGCTGCTTAACTAGCACCTTTCTCAGGAAGTAATAATAGCACCAAATATTGCTGATTCCTAGGAAAGCATTTACTACCTGATAAATGATTTTCTGAGTTAAAGTAGTCCTGTTTATGTACATTAAAAGTAAGGTCTTTTTTTTTTTTTAAGATCTTGGGAATCATAGATACCACATATGGAATCCTTACTGCCTTCCTTCTGGGCACTAGACTGTGCACTTTATATACTTTATCACACTTAATCCTTCCATTAATGGTTTGAGGTAGGTAGGAATGGTCTCCATTTTACACAAGAATTAGAAGGAAAAAGGCTCAAGGAGTTTAATCATTTACCAGGGGTGGTTCTGTGAACGATCTGAGCGGTGGGTGAGGCCTACTGGGCTGTGGCATCGCTCCTCTAGCCCACAGTTGGTTTACCATATTCAAGATGAGTTAATTAAATTCAAGGTTTTATTTTCATGTAAAGCTATTTATGTCTTCCAAATTAAATGAAATGGATATTATAAAAATACAATTGATTCATCCTGTGAATGGGAAGAGTATTTTTTAGTGCAATTGTTTTCTAGCGTACCTGGTTGTCTCAGAAGAAAATCCCATCTAAAGGGGCTTTAAAGTCTTTATGGATAAAAGACAAAGTAAAAATCATTTTTCTTATTTTAGTTTTCTGGATATGCCGCAGAAGGATCCGTGCCAGAAACAAGCCTGTGAAATACAGAAATGTTTACAAGGTAGTATGTTAAATGCTTTTTTTAAAATATTTTTCCACTCTGTGAACTTACAAGAGACCAGTTTTTCGTTTTATTGGCAAATGCTAGGAACTCCTCTCAAATGCAATACTTCTGTAATTATTCTGAAGATTTTTTTCTCATTGTTTCAAATCAGAGATGCAGAAAATAAAAAGTGATGTCATCCAACTTTCATGTTTGCCATCCTGGTTGTACATTAGAACTACCTGAAGAGCTTTAAAAACTTGCCTAGGACAATTAAATCAGATTTCCTGAGGAGGGGTTCTGGGCAGGAATCAGTGTAGAAAGCTAAGCAGGTAATTTTAATGTACAGCCAGAGTTGAGAATTACTAAGCTGAGCAAAGTCCTTTTTTAAAAAGACTAGTTTTAAATGGGTTGGTTATACTTCACTTTTTAAAAGCAATCAGGTTACAAGTGGGGGGTTGAAAATGCAGTTGGAATTCAGGCTGCCAAAGTTAGCAACTCTTAAAGGCGAAAGCATACTTCAGCTAAAGCATATTTGATGTGATCTGTCCACCTGGTTTCTTTCCCCCAATTTGGTTTTAAGTTGGCCAATAAGTTTGACCAAATGCTAGAAGATTTTTTTTTAATCAGTGAATGATTATTGGCAGAAGATAGAATAAAGCCATATGGCTTTCTTAATTTCAAAACTGACGTTTTTGGTGACTTCCCCTTATTGATGTAGGACATGGAGATGGATGCCCATGAAAATATGGAAGGGTCTGAAGGACAAATGTTAAGAATTTACCCAAAGATTCACCAGTAAAGAAAACCCTTGTTTGTATATTGCCTTTGACTTTTAACCTTCATTCTCAGACATTTCATTTTATGATGTAAGCAAAGAGATTTTTCAGAAAAATCTCTCAATCTAAAATGCTGATGTACAATGACAGTAATGCTACTTTCTTCATCCTTTCCTCCTTCCAAATTTCAGAAAAAGGGAAATATTTTTCACAATGTCTTCTCATCAATAAATTCTTATTTGCATTAGCAACACATGGCTAAGGGAGAACAAGGATCAAGTTAGAGACACTCCCTGGCTACAGCGTGGGAGGAGTAAGGACTGGAAGGATTAAGAGTTAGCATTAAGCACAGCCATAAGGGTTTTAAACCGATTAGATCCTTTAACCCTTTCATCCATGAGGCAGATGCTACCATGACCCCCATTTTATAGATGGAGAAATTGATCTAGAAGTTCAATAACTTGTCCAGAGTTGCAGAACAGCAAGGATTGGAGCCCCTTTGGTTTGGCTCCACTCTTGGACTCAGGCAGTCTGCTATATTCTTTGTAGTCAGAATTGGGTTATTTTAATCCTAGACTGAGTCCAGTGTGCCCCACATTAGCACTAGGGGGCTCAAATCAACTGCAGCTGACCTCAGACCTTTAGGTCAAGTTCCCCCGACCTAAGGTCTCTGTACGATAAGGGTCTACAAATAATTTCTGTAGATGGCAGGTAGGAAAGATTTTAGGCTTTGGAGGCCAGCAGCTCTTTGTTGAGTAGCATGTGGGGGAGGAGGTGGGGGTGTGGGGGTGTGTTTACAACCTTGGAAAAATGGAAGAACCACTCTTAGCCCACAGCTGTAAGAAAGACTAGGACTCGACCCGAGGCGGCAGTTTGCGAGAACGTCTGTTGCAGGGACTTGGTAGGGAGCTCCCACAGCCAGGCTGTCCTACAAAAGGGCACCCAAGATCTTAACCTCAAAGAAAAGGACATTTAAATCTAAAAATATCTCTCAACCACTTTGCAAATCATGCTCCCCCCCCCATTAGCCTGTTGACTAGTCTGTACATCAGAAAGAATTGAGTGGGCTTGGGTACGTCCTCTTTCTTCCGAGTCTGTAGATAGAATAAGGTGAAAAGGAATGGGAAGGACTGATCTAAACTTTAAACTTCCCCGTGCCTTAGGTCCTGACTAGGGTCTGCCTGTGTGTTTTTCAGCCAACAACTACGTGGAATCTAAGTGTCAGGCTGTCATTCAAGAACTGCGTAAGTGCTGTGCTCGCTACCCTAAAGGAAGATCTCTCGTCTGTTCGGGATTTGAGAAAGAAGAGGAAGAAAAGCTGACACTGAAGCTGACATCAAAGTGAAGTTCTGCCGAGAAGTTAAATGCTGCTGCTGAGAAGTTAAATGCTGCACCATGTATCCACCAAGCAAGTTTTGTCTTCCTGACTCTTTCTTCAGGCCAGGTAGCAGCAAATAGCAAATAAATAAAAAAGGCAACTATAAAAGTCAATATGCCACCTATGCAGAACAGATAGAAATATAAATACATTAAATATGTAGAATGTAATAAAACCGAGCTGCTAAAATAAACCTGTTAAGTGAGAGAGAAATTTTGGTTTGGTGCTTGTGATATTGCGACTTTTAAGAGATACATATTTGGTCTTTTTTTAAATGTTTTCATATTGGAGTTCGATATTTGGTCTTTATCTCCTTTCCTGGTACAGAGCCCCTAAAACTCTTGGATCTCCTAAGTGGTAAGAGTGACAAAGGGGTCTTGTCACATTAATGAGGTTACTTCTGGAAAGCCCCTAGGTGACCTATGATTGGGGATTGGTTGCCAGGGGGCACCAACCATGTGATTACACGGTTAAAGCTTTCAGTCCCCACTCTCCCCACCTCTGCTGAAGGGACAGGGGCTGCAGATTCAGTCACCAGTGGCCAATGATTCGGTCAATCATGACTGTGTAATGAAGCCTCTATAAAAAACCAAAAGGACTGGGTTTGGACAGAAACTCTTCTCTGTGGGACCTTGCCCTCTATACCTTTTCAGGTGGCTGTTCATCTGTATCCCTTATAACAAGCTGGGAAATGTTGGGGCAAATGTTTCCCTGAGTTCTGTACTTACTGTAGCAAATTAATCAAACCCAGAGGATGTCATTGGGAACCTCAGATGTACAGCCAGGGACTCAGAAGGCCAGGTAACGATCTGGGCTTGGCAGTAGGTATCCAAACTTGGGGCGGTATTGTGGACTGATCCTTAAAGCTGTGGGATCTGACACTAATTCCACGTGCATATGGTCACAAGTGAATGAAGTTTGTAGGACATCTGGCCAGTGTCCACTGAGAATTGGAGAATTGTTTGCTGGTGTTGGAAAAAACACCTAAGAGGAGGACTAAATGCATTTTTTTTTAATTTTTTTATTTATGATAGTCACACAGTGAGAGAGAGAGAGGCAGAGACACAGGCAGAGGGAGAAGCAGGCTCCATGCACCGGGAGCCCGACGTGGGATTCGATCCCGGGTCTCCAGGATTGCGCCCTGGGCCAAAGGCAAGCGCCAAACCGCTGCGCCACCCAGGGATCCCTAAATGTATTTTTTTTTTTAAAAAAAAAAGATTGTACTTATTTATAAGAGCACGTGTGAGTGGGGAGAGGGGCAGAGGGGGACGGAGAGGGAGAGGGAATCTGAAGCAGACTCCGTGCTCAGTGCTGAGCCCAGGGCTGATGCACGGCTTGGAACCGAGACTCCGACATCCACCCAGGTGCCCCCTAAATGTATTTCTTATTACAGGTACAGGTGTTAATACGAATGCTCTTTAGCAGGAGTTTAGACTACTGGTACCATTCATGAAACTATTGATGTTTTGGGTGAAAAGACACGCCTCCAGTGCCATCACCAGGCACCCGTCACAGCCTCCGTGCTAAATTCAAGAGTTTCTCTAACCCAACCCCATACCTGTTGCATTTCTAGTAATTCATGGCAGCATTTCTTCCTCCCCTTACCTCCCCAGCATAGTGCGTGGCGAGAAGACAATATGTGTTCGATGACTGGTAGGAAAGGCCTGGAAATCAGTCGTATAATGTTGAACCCCTAATTAATCATGAGAAAACTGGGGGGGAAAGGCCTCACTGGAAGTCAGGCAGGCAGCAACAGAATCCTTAGGTGGGGTATCCACTCTACATCCTTATCAAGACGTCACAGTGGATCCTGAAGGAACCTGATGACAGTTGTCATGGACTTCACGTAGTGCTGGTGGAGCGACACTATCAAACAGGCCATCTGCTTTCCTCAAACAGGTGTTACAACCACCATCACTCCACCCTGCCCCCCGCCAAAGAAAAAGATGATTCTCTGAGCAAGAGCAGAAACACACTGTGACAGGCCCGCGGCTTCGTGCATTCAGGCTCCTGAAAGTCCACTCGGGCTCATGAACAACAGCCGTGTATTTCTCAGAATCCTGGAAGCTGGGAGTCCCAGATCAAGGTACCGGCAGAGTTGGTGTCTGGTGAGGGCCCGCTCCCCGGTCCCCATCCCAGTCATACGGCTCCACCTCTATGAACCAGTCATCTCCCCAAGGCCCTGCCTCCAACTGTCATCACCTTAGGTGTTGGGGTTTCCACCTAGGAATTTGGGGGAACACCACCATTCAGTCCACAGTAGGGGAGATCCAGCTAGGAAGAGCCTCCCTGGCCGCGAATGGACTGAGGCCGGGCTAGTCACACACCCCATTACTCGAGGCCAAGCGCTCTTGTAAACGGCGTTCCCCGAACTGTTTCTGGGAGCTGCTGTAAGGGGTGGGCGGAAGGCTTCTGGGGTTAGGGGAGTTTAGGGAATGCCACGTTAGACCTAAGTAAACGGGTCTCTCTCCCGTCCACTACGGTCGGTCGTGATCCCTTGAAAATGACTGCTGTACGCGGCGCCTGCCAGGGTGTGCCCACTTTGCACACAGCACCTCTCAGGGTGAACGTTCTCCAGGGAGGCTCGGAGAAACGCTGTCTTAAAGACGTTTCGTCCGCAAAGCAAGGAAACCGTGCTACGTTCTCATGAAATCATTTACGGAACTCGTGTTAATAGCGAAACGATTTAATAAAACATTTGACAACTGTTTACACCGTACACAAATGCAAAGAACATTTAACATGATCGATTGACAGCAGGGCTATAGGATTCACTTTAGGAATCAGTATATGATCAAATACGTTGTTTTCCTGTACTTCACTACAGTCATTTTTATTGAGTTAACTACTCAAGGTTCAGATTTTAAATCTTTTTCCCTAGGGTGTACTACTTTACCTAGGACTTTTATCTTTTTTAAAGATTTTATTTATTTATTTATTTATTCATGAGAGACACAGAGAGACACAGGCAGAGGGAGAAGCAGGCTCCATGCAGGGAGCCCGACGAGGGACTCGATCCCAGGACCACACCCTGGGCTGAAGGCGGCGCTAAATCACTGAGCCACCCGGGCCGCCCTAACTAGGACTTTTAAGGCTTCATATTAAATCGTTCCTTCCTATTTTTTTTTAAATCAAGATTTTTATTTTTAATTTTGTTAAAGATTTTTATTTATTTACTCATGAGAATACACAGAGAGGAAGGAGAGAGAGGCAGAGGGAGAAGCAGGCTCCTTGCAAGGAGCCCGATGTGGGACTTGATCCCGGGTCTCCAGGATCACACCCTGGGCCGAAGGCAGTGCTAAACCGCTGAGCCACAGGGCTGCCCCCTTCCCACCTTTAAACTCAGTCGTGCCTTGGCCGACGTTAGCATCTAGGGCCCACACTAATTCAAACCTGATTCTTCCCAGGTGTTATAACACCCAGAAAAATAACAGTCATCAGAGAAGCTCAACAGTCTTCCCGTGTTTCTTATGTGTTAGGGAGCAGGGAGGACCTGGGAAGGGGAGAGCTGTAGCTCCTTCATTTTTAGCGACCAAAAAAATGTGTAAGTGGGCTAGTAGTGCCAAGTTTAATCACTTGGTTAATTAGTGACTGAAAGACTTCAGGGAGGGTGATACGTTGGCCATGCCTCTCTCTTCACCCCAAAACTTCAGCAGCCATGGAGGACAAAAGCTCCTGATCCGCCGTTATGCTAGTGTCACGACTCCCCGGATTCCAGTTCCCACAACTGCTAGTGTCCAATGAAGTGTACGATCACACTTGGGCCTGGTATCTGGGAGGCACGTGCAGTTGCGGGGCATGTAACTGAAGAGCCTTTAAAGGTCTGTGAGGCAGTCACTTGTCAATAGCAGAGCTCTGACTTGGTTAGCACTGGGCTCCCAGTCTGTGCCTCAGTGGTTCTCAGCCTCTGCTGCTCATTAGAAACCTGGGCGGCTGCCCAAAGATCCCCCAGCCCGGTGAGGCCGGTCCCTTGGACGAGAGCCAGGTGTCGGGAGTTGCTAAAATTGCACTGCTCTCAATAATCCTAATAGCATTTCTTACCATTTTATATTCAGAGATGTAGACAGTTTTGGTGAGTCAATAAGCTGACTTCACAGGTTTTTTTTTTTTTAATGTTAAAAAAAGTGCACCACTGTCAGTTTTCTTTAGGAAAATAGTGCTCTTAAAATTCATGATTCCTTATGAAAAACCGAACATTGTGGAACATGATTCGTGAGAAATCAGGTACAGGGTAAAATATATATATTTTGCCCACCTGTCCAGGAGCTCACACTCAAGTTGTGTAAGCAGTTTAGGAGGCCCCTACCTGGGCTTGGCCACAAAGACCCGAGCTGCTCAGCCGGGGGAAGCAGCCCAGGGCGCAGCACCTGGTTCGGCCTGCGGTGAGCTTCCCTCCAAGAAACCAAGTGATCACGAAACATTAATGATACTCGGACATCTCGGATCCATCTCTAACACCGTTTTTTTTTTTCAAGCAGAGATTTATTAAATTTCCCCAAACTATAGAAAAGCAGAGGTTTCAAGTAAGAGCCGGAGCATTACGCCTGCCCACCTCGCTGGCAGATGTCAAAGGAAAGGATGATGGAGGCAACGTCGTCAGCAGTTCCGCACACAGCGGCCGCGGCCTGGGACCTCGAGCCGCCGCCAGAGTCCTGGCAGCATCCGGGACGCAGCAGTGCCCGGGGCCAGCAAGTGGCCGGGCCCGCGGGGGAGGGGAAGCGGGAGCAAAAGTACGCTAGGACGAGGTCGATGGCATTAGCGATCCTGGGGCTGCTCAGCAACGAGGACACGGGCCGGGGGAGGCGGACAGCGCTGGAGTCCACTCTGGGAGCCCGAGTGGGCCCGCGTCCCCAGCCTGGCCAGCCCCATCTCCGAAGCGACAGCGGATCAGAGGGTGCCCGGAGTGATGACGACACAGGTGGGGGGCGCAGGGGCCCGGCGGGGGGGGCAGAAAGGGCGCGGTGGGGTGCAGGGGGCGGTGGCCCAGGCACCGGGTGTGGGCGCGGGCGGGGGCAGATGGACAGCCCACGCGGGCGCCGGAGGTGGTCCCCGCCAGCAGGGGGCGCCACGGCCCCAAACTCGCCGGATGCCCCCGTCATTCAAGGGAAACTGGCGGCCTCTGGCACCACAGGGAATCAGGTGGCTCGCTAATGACACGAAAATGGGGCAGTCGCGGGGTCAGGCCCGGTCCTGCGATCTTGGCTTTGCATGGAGGAGGGCAGGGGGCTGTCCTTGTGGGGGAAGTCTTACCTCCCACTTCGGCACCTCAAACCAAGCCGCTGGCCACAGGACCCCAAGGTAGGGCCCCCCTAAATGCCCGCGCCTCCTCCAGCTCGGCTGGAATCCAGCATACTCGCAGCCCCAGGCACGCCCCGCCGGGTGGGCAGGCCTCAGGACCTCACCCACGCCCCGGGGCCCCAAGCGGCCAGCTCGGAACCCCCTTCAGAGGGACCCGCAGAGCTCGCCTCGGCCCACCTTCTGCCACAGCTCGCGAGCGCTCACAGCCACCTGCTAGCGTCTGTTGTCATCACCAATGATCCCAGGAAGAACAGACGACATAAGGCAACTCCCACCCCACGAGAGGCAGCCGGTGGCCGCGCTGCTCCGTGCAACCCAAGGGAGCAATGGCACGGCAGGGACGTTCGACGGCCACCATTCCATTGCTCCGGGGGAATGGCACGGGTCACGTCATTAAAGAGCCGCAGCCTTGACTGCCATACAGAACATCAATCAGCCGGGGACCCGGGCGTCAGGAGCAGGATGGAGAAAACTAAGGAATAACTCAACGTCTTCAATGACTATATGGCAGGCCAAAATCCCACAAAGGAAAAGAGTAAGAGGAGTAAGAGCATACAGCATTGAAAGACACTTCGACCACCTGAACGCAACGTGGGTGGACCTTATACGGATTTTGATTCAAACAAACCGAATGCAAAACACGTAACAGACGGGAAATTTTGAAGACTGGCCAGATATTTGATGATATTAAGAAATTGTAATTATTTGATATGATAGTAGTATATTATATTTGATTTTTAAAAACAGTTCTCACCTTTTAGTGATACAAACGGAAATATAAAGAAATGACACATTTTGTATTTGTTTCAAAACAATCAACAAGCTATGATTTGATGGTCGTTGCGGGTGAGTGATAGATACATGAGGGTCGCCGTACGTTTCTCTACGTTCAGGTATGTTTGAAAGTTTCCATAATAAAAACTGAAAACAATCTTTAAGTCCTTATGCAACAGACAACACAGAGGCTCGTACCATTTTCATTTGGGGGTGGTTCATATGCATTGTTGGCAAAATTACTTAGGTCGCCTTAAAAGAAGGGAAAGAATGCAGATGGATGAATTCTAAAAAGTCCCACACATCCATCAGTAGGTACAGTTTCCAAATCCAACCCATTACTCTCAAGGTAAGGTAAGAGGCAAACATTTTAAAAGAAGCCCTTAAAAAAACATACGTTTTGCAAAAGTCACCTGCAGGTTTAGTGACTGATTCTAAGTTTTCTGCATTCTCATAACTCAGAGAGTCTCAAATGATTCTTTGGATCAATCCCTTTGTGGGTTCATTTACGTGAGGTCGTCATCCTTATATTCTACAAATCCTGATTACCTATTACGTGCTCAGTTCCACGGGTGTGACGGAAACACACGAGCCTTACCCTCCAGAAGCAGGTGTTCCAGCGGAGGCTGCACACATGGTGACAGGCCATCACAACCAGATGTGCCGAGGTTCCCAGCATGTCTCTGTGTGTCTACAAACTTTTGTTTTAAAGACTAATTCTAAGGGTTTGGGCCATGTGAGACAGCAGATTATGTTTGATGATGGAAATAACTGACTTCACACATGCTTTTGCTACTGTTCTCAATTCTGAGTGCCTGGAATGCCACCTCCTGAAAGCTCTGGCTCAAATGTGAGGCATTTCACACCAACTAGATGAAGAAATAGAATTGGCCCAGAGGAGCTATGGCTACCCCTAAAGTTTTCACAAGAGGTAAATAATACTTCACATTTCAAAGCTTAAAGCCTTTTCCATGAAATAAAAATCCAAGAGCTTCTTACCTCTCCTACGTTAAGTCACTTATTTTGCCATGAGAAAAACCCCTCTGGAAACAGCCACGAGTTGCTGGATGCTGGAAAACGTCCCTGGATAAGATCTTCATGTCCCTAAATGATTCATAAGTCTGACCATCCGATGACATAGCTATGATACTTGGTTTCCCTCAAGACCTTCCCACCAAACACAATACCCTCAGCTCAGCACACATATACCTTTAGCACAAGTTCATTCCATATTCAGATTTTTCAATGACAGGGCTCATGCTGCCATTTTGTCAGGATACTTACAGCAAGTATATAAACAACTCTCTTTCTGTCATCTAAAACCAACTAAAAAAGAAAGGAGACACCAAGATACCAAGTCTTTCATGCTTAAAGGCAAATGTATTCTGTTCCTTTCCATGCAGCACATCAGGTATCTATATGTTTGCGATTTTTTTTTCCCCAAATCAAGTTCGGGGCAACCTTTGAGGATCCAGTCATCCTCCAAGGCGAGCCATCTTGCGTACCAACCTCTGTTACGCATCTTATACGGGAGGGGAAAGGAACGTTTTTGTTGACCTACAGGTTAGTAAGTGGGGAGTGTGCAGGGAGTAGAGCTAACACCTATGGGCTCTTCCGTTGCCACCAAGCTCACAGCGGGGCCGTGTCAGCTTGTACCGACAGATGTCTACAGGAGCCATTCGGATACGCCATGGCAGAAGTCATGGAGAAAGAGGAGAAGCAGGAGAGACTTGACGTCTTATGATGGAGTGCAGAGGCCGCTGGCTGGAGAAAACAGGAATCACAAAAGTGAAGTTGTCCTCCTTAGGATGCCATGCCAAGCAGAAAGCCTCCGAAAAATCCCCCAGTCACTAGAACGTTCTTCTTCACAAACGACACGACCTAGAAACGGAAGAGAGCACGAGTGGTTTACTTTGCCAGGGACAGTATTATTATGATTCACATCTCTATCACCTGTGCGATCCCAACAACCCCCTCGCTGGGTCTCTGGTTCCAGATGGTGGCAGGGGTGCTAGTTTGACGCGGCTGAATTCAAGAGACGTTTTCGAGATGGGACTCTGACTGGATGACTGGCCATAGGGGGCCGAGGAGGAGAAGCCAAGGCAACTCCTTGGATTCTGTCCTCAGTTGTCTGTGAGAGAGCCAAGAAGTCGGCCTGCGGGCTGTCTCAGGAACAGGGAAGGACAGAGTTCACGGGGACGCTACGGGGCAAGAGTAAAGCCGTGTTCAATAAACCAGCTACGGAGGCGACTGCGTTTCCGAGGTCACTCCTTCGTTCTCTCCACACCTGCTTCCCAACCGAGGCTGCTCATTCGCAAGTCTCTCCTCCAAGTCTCTGTGTCCATCCTCCACCCCAAGGACAACCATCAGCTTAGACGCTCCTCACCGGACAACACATCCAGCACCCTGGCCTAACCATTTCTTGAACTCGAGTACAGCAACTCCATGTCCCACCCATATAGGCCACTCACACCCTGACCTGCTCCAATCTACCCCGTTCTCCTGGGACTCGCCGGCGTCCTTACCCCACTATGCCTAGGACTCCCTGCGTCACTTCCATGCCCTCTGACTTCGCCGGGCCGCACATTTCCCTACCTGACGTAGCATCTTTTGCCATCTACCTACCATCAGAAGGAATGAAGAAAATCATACAAAATCCCGAAATAATTATTGTTTTCATTATCTTTACTTTCTTACTTCCTACTCACTCCTCAACTTGTTACAGTTTGGCTTTCAATTCCACCCCCCCCCCCAGAACTGCTGCCACTGAAGTTACTGATGATTTTTATTGCTAAACACTGAATTCATCATCCTCATTCCCTGGGGCTCCCCAAGCTTGGCGGGAGGAACCAGCCACTATCCCTGGGGCCTGTGACGGTGCCAGGCCATGCATAGGAATACAAAAATTTGTGGATTAAAGCAATTCCAAACCTTGTGGCTAGTTTATAACAAGTTCCCTCTGTGACTCAACAGTTAGTTCTTCTTTTTCTTAAGATTTTATTTAATCATGAGAGACACACAGAGAGAGAGAGGCAGAGACACAGGCAGAGGGAGAAGTGGGCTCCGATGCGGGACTTGATCCCAGGACCCCGGGATCACGCCCTGAGCCGAAGGCGGACGCCCGACCGCTGAGCCAGCCGGGCGGCCCTCAACAGTTAGTTCTAATGGAACAGTAACCTTATTCTGTTTATTATACATACTTCCCATGTCATTAAAGAAGTTTTCAACAGTCGTGCATTACTTCTGTATACATGTGAGTAGTCAAGTTCCGGCAAAATGAAAAATGTCACTTTTATAACCGTGACCTTGAGACAAGTGGATGGAACTGGGAGGGACTCTCTGTACCCCTGGGCCCTTGGAGATGCCACCTTCCACTCTGGGCAAAGGACCAGCTTTGGCCTACCACCCACCTCCTTGCAGAGACTGCCAGTAATGTGCCCGGCAAGGTGGACTTACCTGTTCAGTATTTTCGAATCTAAGTCATTCATCACTCATCTATCTGCTTTTCAACTTCTAAAAACTTGCTGACATTTCTTCTCCCATGGTATTTTTCTCCTGTTCTCTTGGTCCTTATGGGTTTAACCTGTTTTATTTTGTTACCATCATTTGGCAATATTTCAAGGACAAGGCCTGTTTCGATTTACCTCTAAATCCATCATCTGCAGTTATTCCATCTGTTTTCTCTGTGAATCCAGAACACCATTGCTCCAGGCCTTAGAAGGTGCAAGGAGCCTTTTTGACACCTTGATCCTACTTTACTTCTCCCCACTTCGGTGCACTTATTTCTTCGGGACATTTAATGTATTTCCAAAGGTAATCAAGAAGTGCCAAAATACACCCTTTTAAAAAGGAAGGACTTCTTCTGTCCCTTCCAAGGGCCAGCCAATATAACCTAACCTGGTTTTCGCATGTTGGAGCAGAGGTCAGCAAACTATAGCCTGAAAACCAAATCCAGCCTGCTGTCATTTTTAAATAAAGCTTCGCTGCAACACAGCCACACCCACTTGTCTACATACTGTGTATGCCTATTTTCATGATACACGGTGGAGTTCAGTAGCTGTGACCGAGACCCCAGGGCCTACAAAGCTGGAAACATTTATCATCCAGTCCTTTACAAAAAAAAAAAAAGTTGCAAACCTCTGAGCTACATATTCCTGCCAGTTATGTGTGCGTGTAAAGGATGGACATTTCAGAGAAGAGTGTGCATGGAGACAAAGTATGACTTCAAACCATCTATACTTCACTTGCTTCAAGGACTGATTCCAGACATGACCAATCCACATATGTAAACACATCATTCATTCATTTTACATTCAGTCATAAACATATCATTTACATATATCACTGCCTGATAAGAGTCACCAACACTTCAATCACCCAGCTTTAAAAGACTGCCTCCTAGGGTGAAGAGATGCCATTCGCGGCTGGCATTCTGCTCCATCTACCCCGTTGTCCAGTCTTTTCACACTGCAGATGAACAAAACAAGACTCACCTCCTCTGCTTTGCTTTTGACCTCCGTAGGTATCTGGCTGCTCTTACGGATCTTCAGCTGCTCCTTGGCTTTCTTCATGTCCTTCTCCACTCGCTGCCAGTCAACCTTGATGTAACCAGTATGGTTTGCAAGCTACAGTTTCAACGATGATAGCCAAAAATAACAAACACAGTTCTTTAGGATTGATCACTGAAGCACATCATCAAAAACCATTCTGACTTTCCATTTTTTGAGACATTTGCTATCCAGCTCACTGCATGACAATGATATTCAGTTCACATGTACTCAGTATCCATCCAACACGCAAGGCTCTACGCCTGACGCCGGATCAACAGACTGGCCTTCAATGACTGTTGGCAATTCTTTTACTCTTATTTATACCCTTATCCCCATCTACAAAGTTTTAAGTTATCTTAAAAATATAAATTGGTAAAAAGAAAATCAGAATCGAAAGTCACGATGTAAAGTGAAGAAACATGACAAAGTTATAGCCAACTTAATCACTGTTGACTCAGAAAGAAATCTTCTAGAACATGGCTCCAGAGGTTTCTCATGAGCAACTTCATGTAAGAGGTGCTGAGAGAAACACATCCGAATATATGTCTAGAGCATGCCCCCTTCCCTCCGTGGAGACAGCAGGCACTTTGGCACAAAGTAAAACTCAGTGAAAACAATTTCTTTTTTTTTAATTTTTTTTAATTTATTTATTTATGATAGTCACACACACAGAGAGAGAGGCAGAAGCAGGCTCCATGCACTGGGAGCCCGACGTGGGATTCGATCCTGGGTCTCCAGGATCGCGCCCTGGGCCAAAGGCAGGCGCCAAACCGCTGCGCCACCCAGGGATCCCAGTGAAAATAATTTCAATGAGAATGTGTGAATAGGAGCAAACTGATCTGGGTATGTTGTCTTCTGATGGAATAATGTTATCCAAGGAATAAAGAGTCACTACAGCCCATTAATCAATCTTTCATCAATATCACTTCTCTCCACTGAAGTTTTGGTAAGTCAATCTAGCTGGATTTCTCAAAATATTTAAAACCGAGACTTCTCTCTCTTTGATCTCTTCCTGCATTGTTGCTCTTCTTCTAGTCTCTATTTTAGTTAATGACACCACCTACTAATCAGTCACCCAAACCAGGCTGGAGGAAATATTTGCAATACAGGTAATGAACAAAACATTAATACTCATAAAAAGTGTGATTCTTTTCCAGATCAGAAAGGAAGGAGCCAAACTGCTGCTATTCATAGACACGTCTGTCTACATAATTTCAAAGAATCCAACCAAAAAACGAACAAGAACTCCTACATCTAAAAACTGAGTTTAGGCTGGCAGCACGGAGGCCGCATGATACCTGGAGTTACTGTGAAAGACATGAGCCAACAGGAGTTTGTCAGAGCTCTGGAGCCTTTGTCAAAATGTCTAGGATGTTCAGCTTCCGAGCGAATGAGTGGACACTGTCAAGCTGGCTAAGCATAAAGAGCTTGCTCCCTACAATGAGAACTGGCTGTATACACGAGCTGCTTCCACAGCACGGCATCTGTATCTCTGGGGTGGCGCTGGGGTCGCCTCCAATGACTAAGATCTATGGGAGATGTCAGAGAAATGGGCTCATTGTTAGCCATTCAGCAGAAGCTTCAAGAGCGTGGTCCCCTAGAGGGGCTGCAAATGGTGGGAAAAGACCAGAACTGCTGGACAGCTGGCAGCTGCCAACAAGAAGTATTGCAACAAATGCTAGGCTAATAAACTGCCTCATTTGCCAAAAAACAAAAAAAAAATGAGTTTAGCAAGGTTGCAGAACATAAGATCAACATACAAAATCAGTTGTATTGTTTCTGCTAGCAATTAAAGCAACTGGAAATGGAAATAAAATTCATGATTTACTATAGCTGTAAAAGTATTAAATACTGGATAGAAATGTAAACAAAAATCATATAGAATCTGCATGCTGAAAACCACAAAATGGTGAAGAATTTAAAGAACAAATAAATGGAGAGACGGGCCCTGTATATGGAAATGAAAACTCGAAATGATGTCCAATTCTTTCCAAATTGAGCTATGAAGTTCCTGCAATCCCAACCCCAGCAAGATGCTCTGCAGATAAACAAACAAGCTGGTTCTAAAATGTGCATGGAAAGGCAAAAGAACTAGAAGAGCCAAAATGATTTTGAAAAAGAACACTGTTGGAGGTATCATAGTGCCTGATTTTAGGATTTCCTATGATGCTACAGCAATCAAGATGACAGTGGGATACTGAAGAAGGGACAGACCCACAGATTAATGGGACAAAATAAAAAGTACAGAAACAGATAACCCAATTTAAAAACAGGCAAAGACCTGAATACACACATATGTGGACAGCAAGGAAGCATATGAAAAGATGTTCCAAAAAAAAAAAGAAAAGAAAAGATGTTCCACATTAGGAGTTGTATCATTCTGAGTCCAACTGGAAGACTGGCTTGGGGCTGAGGGTGCATGGCCAAGGAAAGCCACAGTGTAAGTGAAGGCATAAGGTATCTAGGAATGAAACCAAGGCACAGGTGTAGAAGATGTATAAGAAAAAAAAACGTAAAGTCTAAAGAAAGACAATGAAGACCTAAATAAATGGAGAGAAAGCATGTATTCATAGATGATTCATCATTCAAGATATTGATTCTTCCCACATTTACCTATATGGCTCCCATGCAATTCCAATGAAAATTTTAACACAGCTTTTGAAAATAATTAACAAACTTGTTCTAAAATGTATATGGACAAAAAAAATAAAATAAAATGTATATGGACAAGCTAAAAGCATAAAACAGCCATAGCACTCCTGAAGGGCGTGGGGAAGAACGTCTGTCACCGACTGTCCAGCCTTAGTAAACATTGGAAGTTGACCAGTGAAACAGAATAGAGAAACTAGAATCAGAACCAGCCATATATGGGTTAATCTGTGACAACTGCCACACTACAAATACTGAGGAAAGGAAGACAATTATGAGTATGAAAGAAAGGAAACTGGATCCCCACATCAATGACAGCAGGCCTCACCCTCATCCCTCTGGTGACCAACAGCGTGAGGACACAGCACTGACTCCCCACGTCCTGCCTACCTCCCCTAGCAAGGAGACATCCCTGTCCTCCCCGGTTATCTGACTCATGCAATCCCAGAATCCCACTGGGGACTGCTTCCGTCAGACAGGGCCCCCGAAGAAACGGAGGGTACACTCAGGTGCAGACCTTTGTACCGCCTATAAATACTGAAACACTACGCTGTACTCCTGGAACTAGTGTTGTGTGTCAATTAAACGTCAAGTGAAAAAAGTTGAAGGTGAAAGAAAAAAAGATATTTCAAAGCCACATGAAGATACTTACAAAGTCAAGCCTGGAGCAGGCTGCAGAGAAAAGCGCAGGGATAGAGGACTGACTGCGGGTCTGCTGGCGACACAGCCGCCACTGCACTTGTGCCCGAAGGGCTGAGAGGAAGGCGAGGGAAAGGTGGCGGGGGGCCCTTGCCTTGCAGGGAGTCTGACCGCCCCCACCCCGAGAGACAGAGAGAGGCCCAGACCTGCCCCAGCCTGCTCTGCTTACCCAGCTCCACCACCTCCTGCCTGCAACTGCATGACACCTGCAGCCACAGGCACCCACCCTTCCCTCCCCAAATTCCTGACCCACACATACTGTGAGAAGTGATTAAATGACGGTTATTTTGAGCACTAGGGTTTGCGGGAATTTGTTGTGTGGCAATAGGATACCCAACTTGCCCCAGCCCTGGGCACTGCCCCGGCTGCCAGTCACCAGCCTTCTCCTCGCACACAATGAACTTTCCCCTGCAGTTCAGAGGTAGCACTACCCCGCTAAAAGGAAGGCTGTCAACTGTAGGAGGAGACCAAGGCCTAGGAGTTGGGAGACTGTGGCACAATTCAATGAATTATGGCTCCTACAGAGCAGTGCTTCTCAAACTCTGCTCCAGGTTAGAATCACCTCAAGAGTTTAAAAATACTTAAATGTGCAAGCACACCTTCCACCTATGACATCAGGTGGGGAGGGGGATGCGGCGGGCTCCGAGCGTTACTGTTTTGTAAAACTCCTTAGGTGATTCCAACGTGGAGTCAAGTTTGCAAAGCAATACTACAGTGCGGCCTCAGAGAACTGTATCTATTAGTCCTGAAATAAACTCTGGGCCGAGAGGACAAGAGAGGACATCGGACTGGACTGTCATTTAGTCCTCATTTCTCACTGAGTGCTCTGGGATCGATGTCCCCTCTGACAAATAAATCGTATCACAGGGCACTTGTACATGCAGTACACTTCGTATTTGTGGAATCAAACTTAATATTTCAACTGGTCTTAAAGACCCTGTAAGGGAGCTATCATAGGAATATGTACTATGTCCCCATGTTATAGATGATAGAACAAAATGTGACTGATTGAACTGATGAAGTTTGATTCAAATGGTCAGCGGCATTTCAAATAGTGCACTGAAAATAAGTGCAAAGGCTATTCTAGTGTAATACCGCCAAGCCTGTATTATAGCTCCTCAAACCATACTCCTAACGGGCAAGGGGGATTTCCAAACATCTAGGAATATTTTGCATACGAACCTGAAGGAGAAAAAATCCACCTCCTACAGCTGTTGCAGCCAACTTTCCAACCTTCTGGAATATGAAACCCGTGCACCTACAAAAACCAAACCAACGTCAGACAAGTTGACAGGCTGTCAAATACACATGACCATGCACTTCTAACAATGTTCAGATCTTACTTACTGTCGGATGATTCGCCAAGCAGAGAGCAGAGGCTCTGAACTCAGAAAGACCCTGATTCAAATCTTGTCTCTACCACTTACTAATTTTGTGGTCTTGGGAAAATCCCTTAAAACTTTCAGCGTGCACTTTTAAGTTTTTTTTTTTAATTTTTATTTATTTATGATAGTCACAGAGAGAGAGAGAGAGGCAGAGACATAGGCAGAGGGACAAGCAGGCTCCATGCACCGGGAGCCTGATGTGGGATTCGATCCTGGGTCTCCAGGATCTTGCCCTGGGCCAAAGGCAGGCGCTCAACCGCTGCGCCACCCAGGGATCCCTAGTGTGCACTTTTAAAAGAGGACTCCAGCTACATAGTGGAGCTCAAGGGGGAAAAGCATAAAGGCAAGTATCCCCCTAGGAAATTGGCAAGAATGAATGGACCACCAAACTCTGCAAACTAGTAAGGGACTCTGGCAAGATCGCAGTATAAAAGAGGAATATACAAACCTCAATTGTGTTTCTCATGAGTAATGAACAATTAGAAATTGAAATTTAAAAATATCATCTACAATAATATCAAAAATAAGATGTGCAAGACCTATAAAGCATTGCTGAGAATACTTAAAAGAAACCTAAACATGGTTTATGGATCAATGCAATCCTAATCAAAATCTCATCAGGTTTTTATTGGAATTGGCAGCAAGCTTATTCTAAAATTTGTATGAGAATGCTGTGAACCCAGAATAGTCAAATCGACTTTGAAAAAGAACAAAGGTATAAGATTCATCTGATTTCATGACTTATTATAGAGTAACAGTGATCAAAACAGTGTGATACTAAGCACAAAGACTGACAAATCCACTAACAAAAACTGCAGGGGCACCTGGGTGGCTCAGTTGGTTAAGTATCTGACTCTCGATCCCAGCTCAGGTCTTGATCTCAGGGTCGTGGGTTTAAGCCCCACATTTGGCTCCACGCTGGGCATGGAGCCTACTTAAAAAAATAAAAATACTTAAAAAAAAACCCTAAAGAATTCAGAAACAGGAGTACAGTGGCTCAGTCGGAAGAGCATGTGACCCTTGTTCTCAGGGTCATGAGTTTTGAGCTCCATGCTGGGGATAGAGATCACTTAAAAATAAAAAGCTTTAAAACAAAGTTCAAAAATAAAATAAAACAAAGTTCAGAAACAGACATATAGTCAATCGATTTTTGACACCAGGTGCAAAAGCAATTCGGTGTAGAGCAGGATAGTCTATTCATCAAACCATGTGGGAATAATTAGCTGTCATATGCAAACAAGAACTTGGATTCCTTACCTTGCAACATACACAAAAAGTAAATCAAAATGAATCATGGACCTAAGGAAAAATCTAAACCTAAATACCCTCTGGAAGAAAACATAAAAGAAAATCTTAGTGATCCTAGGTTAGGAAAATATTCAGACCTTAAACCAAAAGCTAGAGCTAGAAAAAAAAACAAGTTGATAAATTACATTTTTTTTAATTTTTATTTATTTATGATAGTCACAGAGAGAGAGAGAGAGAGAGAGAGAGGCAGAGACACAGGCAGAGGGAGAAGCAGGCTCCATGCACCGGGAGCCCGATGTGGGATTCGATCCTGGGTCTCCAGGATCGCGCCCTGGGCCAAAGGCAGGCGCCAAACCGCTGCGCCACCGAGGGATCCCGATAAATTACATTTCAAGGTTAAGAACTTCTGTTCTTTATGTTAAGAGACTACAAAGCCACAGAGCAAAAGAATGTATTTGCAAATCACAAATCTGATATAAAACTTGTATCTGGAACATATAAAGAACTCTTGTGACTCTGTAATGAGAAAGCCAATATCCCAGTAACAATATGGAGAAAAGACTTGAACAGATTCCTCATCAAAAATACGTGGATGGCAAAAATAAGCCCATGAAAAGATGCTAATATCATTAATCATTAGGGAAATACAAATTAAAACCACAGTGAGCTACCAGTTTACACCCACCAGGATGGTTGTAATCAAAAAGTTATTAACGCAGGGATCCCTGGGTGGCGCAGCGGTTTGGCACCTGCCTTTGGCCCAGGGCGCGATCCTGGAGACCCGGGATCGAATCCCACGTTAGGCTCCCGGTGCATGGAGCCTGCTTCTCCCTCTGCCTGTGTCTCTGCCTCTCTCTCTCTCTCTGTATGACTATCGTAAAAAAAAAAAAAAAAAAAAAAAAAAAAAGGCATAACGCCCAAGTGTTAGTGAGGATGTGGAGCTACTGGAACACTCACACACTGCTGGTAGAGGTATAAGATGGTATAGGCATTTTAGAAAAGTGTCTGGCAGGTTCTTAAGTTAAAGCATCCCACCTATAATCCCCACCCATGCTATCCCTAGGCATTTACGCCAAAGAAATGAGAGCCTGTGTTCACACAGACTTGTTCACAAATGTCTGTAGCAGCTGTAGCCCCAAAGTGGAAACAAACTAGGGTTCATCAAAGGTAAATGGATAAACAAAATGGTTCATCCACACAATGAACTACTACTGAGCAATGAAAAGGAATGAACTACTAATTAAAAAAAAAGCACAGATGAACCTGAAAATCTTTTTTAAAAATGCATATATACACACCAGGAAATTTAGACAGAGTGTTCATATCAGCACTGTTTAGCCAAACACTGAATCAACTCAAATGTCAGTCATCACCTAGATAAAAATACTGTGGTACGTTCACGCAATGGAATTGTATATATGAAAGAAAACAAAGAAACTACAACTACACACAAAACAAGCTGAGCAAAAAGGCAAGATTCAAGAATACACATGATTTTATTTATTTAAAGTTCAAAAGCAGATAAACTACAGTATATATATATATTTTAAACTACAGTATATTATACACTGATAAGATTGGTGTTAAAATCACATAGAAAAGCAAAGAAATAACTGAATGACAGTAAGTGTAGCACTGATCTCTAGAGTTTTTGAGGTGCTAGTCACGTTTTAAACCTGAGCAGTTGTTACATAGGTGTTTGCTCTATATGTATTCATCATAATGTACACATATCATATGTACTGTTCTGTATTTATATTATCTTGTACAGTAACATTTCTAAATATAAAAAGTAGAGATGATATTGATGTATTATATATTCCTGGCTAAATTTGCTATTAAACTTTTTGAATTTATGACAAATGAAGCCATAAGCTGTGTCACATTGAGGAAGTTATCCTGTGACACGGCTAGTAAGTGGCTAGCTCCTAGTTATACCACTTCCTAGCTATGTGGCCCCGGGCCTTTTGAGCCTTAGCTCCTGTAAGATGAGAACAATTACAGTGCTAATTTCTGAGTTGTTGTGAGAAGGAAATATCTATATAAATACTAAGATATTTGTGTTTTTTGTACTCTCTATCTCTCAATGTAGAGAAAAGTGAACGCTTGTATACTCTTAGCAGAGCTATAAATTAGTACAGCCATTGTGGAGAATGATATGGAGGTGCCTCAAAAAGTAAGATGTAGAACTAGAATAGGATCCGGCAACTCCACTTCAGGGAATATGTATCTAAAGGAAATAAAAGCACTAATTCAAAAAGATGTCTGCACCCCCACATTCACTGCAGCACTATTTACAACAGCCAAGTAATGGAAACAACCTAAACGTTCATCAATGGATGAACGGATAAACAGGACATATACACACACCGAGCACACACACAATGTAATACTATTCAGCCATAAAAAACGAAATCCTACCATTTGTGACAACATGGATTGCTCTTGAGGACATTATGCTGAGTGAGGTAAGTAAAAGACAAATACTATATGATCTCAGTTATATGCAATCTAAAACAAACACAAAACTCATAGAAAAAGTGATCAAACTTGTGGTTACTGGAGGCACGGGGTTGGGTTAGCAGGAATTGGATGAAGGTGGTCAAAAGGTACAAACCTCCACTTAGAAGTAAGTATTAGGGAGGTAATGTACAATGTTACGAAAATGCTTAGGAGAGTAGATGCTGAGAGTTCTCATCACAAGAAGAAAATTATTTTCCTCTGTTTATTGTATGTGTATGACATGATGAATGTTCACTAACCCTACTGTGGTAATCATTTCACAACATATAAATCAAACCATCATGCAGTATACCTTAAACTTATACAGTGATGTATATTTATTTTTCAATGAAACTGGAAGAAAAATGAGGATACACAATACCAGTACCAATTTCAGAGTTGTTGTGAGAAGGAAATGAAATATATAAATACTCAAAATAGAGCCTGGCATATAATAGATACTATATTTAGGTGAATGCCACACATGAAGTGATCAATTGCACAGAAGTCAACATGTTCTCATTAGTTAAGGAGATGGTTCCTGTAACTCCAATCTAAATCAGGCAAAAAAAAAAAGACACTAGACATTCTTTCTTATCACTTACCATCCAGTGACACCTCCAATTAACAGCTGCGTTGCCACGCTATATTTTTCAGCTGAGGGCCCAGATTCCTGCCCAAACAGCTTGCGCCACCATGGCTGCTTTTTAGCAAATTCTGCAAGGTCCAGTGACTCAAATTTTCCCTCAAAGTTTCCTACAAGAATTGAGATACTGAATAAGAAAATATTTAGATTTATAATGAATCACAATTCTTAACCAGAATAAGAGAATTTTAAGGAAATGGGTATTGAAGAACCTGCAAATATCATTTTATTTCAAATGGCAAAATAACTCTGAAATTGTGGCTAGCAACTTCTAAAATCAACAAATAATACCTATCTTAGAAAAAAATAAGTGGACAATTTAGAATTAGTACTCCGGGTTTTTCTCTCAAATTTAAAAACAAGCAATGGATGTTCAAAAACCTGACAGTAATAATAACGTATCCTAAACGAAATGGATTTTCTTCATTTGTGTCTCCTTCTCAAGAGTAAATATCTCAATACCATTTAGCCCACAACTTCTTACCACTATATGGATCTCCACTGATAATATAGAAAGTAATGTTTAATTGAGCTGTTACTATTTACCAGGCAATGTGCTAAGCAATAAACATGTATACCTAATTAAATCCACGGAACATAGTAGGTACAAAACAAGGTACTATTTATTATCCCCACTTTATAATTAAGAAATGGAGGCTCAGAGGTTAAGTGATTGCCCAAGAAAGGAAAAAGAGTCAACAAGATGTCTGATCCCATTCCCTGTGGGAAGACAATGTAGGGATAAATTTAAAGAATGATGCACAAAACCTCTCCACTGTAAACAAAACAGTGCAGAGAGGGAAGATGACTGAAATTAACGGAGATGCATACTTTCTCTTGCAAGGCAGTATTTTTAAGATGTTCATTGTCCCCGTATCCAGCTACAGACTTCATGCCGTCCGGGTCAAAAAGGAGGTCTTTATCTAGAAACCGACAAGCTGGTTCTAAAATGTATATGGAGATGCGAAGGCCTACCTAGAATAGTGTTCCCAACGATGATGGCAAGTCGCCCCAAAACTTCATGGAGCCAAGCAATCATTTATTATGCTCTTAGACTCCATGGCTCAGGATTCCAACGGGATATGGCATTACAGTCCATCCCTATTCCGTGAAGTCTGCGGATTCAGCTGGAAGACTTACAGGTCAAAGATCTGGAATCATCCCCAACATATGTTCAGGCTGCCTCTCTATGTGGGCTCATTCAGACTTCCTTCTAGCATGCTCCTAGGCTGCAGGGTGGTCCCCAAGGGAGGCAGCGAGAAACTGGGGAGTGAAGGAGACTGAACGCCAGGCACAAGCTGTGTTCATTATTTACCACCTGGCCCCAGAAGCCAAGTAGTGTTACTTCCACCACGTTCAGTAGAAGCAGTCACACATTCCCACATGGATTCAAGAGGGAATATATAGACCCCATCACTGAGTGGGAGGGGTGTCAATGTCTCACTGAGGAAAGAGCCAGTGGACTGAGAGAGATTGTTGTGATCGTTTAGGATAATACAATGTGCCACAAGCATCAAAACAATTTTGGGGAATAAAAAAGAACAAAGTTTGGGGCCCCTGGGTGGCCCAGTCACTTAAGTGTCTGACTCTTGGTTTCAGCTTAGCTCATGGTCTCAGGGTTGTGAGATCCAGCCCCGGGGAGGGCTCTGTGCTGGGTGACGAGTCTGCTTGGGATTCTTTCCCCCTTGCTCCTTCGCCTCACCTACCTGCTCACATGCTCCTGCTCTGTGTCTTTCTAAAATAAATATATAAATAAAATGTAGCCCCCCCCCCAAAGAACAAAGTTCAAGGACTTTCAAGACTTCCTGTAAAGCTACAGTGGAATACAGCTCCCTCACAACAAGACTTATAAAGCTAGCATGTTGGACAGTGTAGAACTGACACACATATATGAATGGGAGAGAATACAGAGTCCACAAGTAGATGTACACATAGTCATTCAATTTTCAATAACATGGCATCAAGGTAATTTAATAGGGAAAGAGCCGTTTCAAAAAATTGTTAGAACTATTGGGTATTTGTAATAAAAAAAATAATAAAAGGCTATGATCCCTAGTTAGATCATACAGAAAATATAATTCAAGATGAATCATAGATTCCAATTTAACAGAACCAAAATATGGATGTTTGAGGAACAAGGTCTTCTATGTTTTTACAAGTAGTTACATAAAAAGTATCTTTTGAATGTAACATTAGATACCAGTACAAAAGAACAGTAAAACATTACTGCTGTGTTGAAGAAATTCTCTCTGGAGTTAAAGAATATCACTGAAAACAAGAACGTAAAAAAAAAAAAAAAAAAACACCAAGAATGAGTTTTGAGTTTTTTTTTTTTAAAAAAAAACATTTATTAATTTTAGGGCGCCTGGGTGGCTCAGTTGGTTAAGTATCTACTTTCAGCTCAGGTCATGATCTCAGGGTCCTGGGATTGAGACCTGCATCCCATTGGGCTCCCTGCTGAGTGAGGAGTCTGTTCTTCCTCTGCTTCTCCCTCTCCCTCTGCTGCTCCCCCTGCTTGTGCATGCTCTCTCTCTCTGTCAAATAAATAAAGTCTTTAAAAAACAAGATTTATTTATTTTGGAGGTGGGGGGAAGGGGAAAGAATCTGAAGTAGACTCTCCGCCCAGTGTGGAGCCCCATGTGGGGATAGATCTTACGACGCTGAGATCACCACCTGAGCTGAAACCAAGAGTCCCATGAAGCAATCGAGGTGACCCTGAGTTTTGTTTTAATATAATTTTACCAGGCCCCTCAGCTCAATAGGAGGCTCCAGTCAAAAGAGGGATAAAATCAGAGGGCTTTAGTTCATTCAAGTTCATTTAGTCATTGAACAAACTGTGTAAACCAGTATGTAGAGCAGTCGTTAGTCTTGCTTATGAGTCCACAAAATAAATGACTACAGGATTACGTGATCATCACTATGATAAAGTTCTCTCACAACCATTTCCTAGGAGCAAATATCTAATCAACTTCCATATTTTAGGTGAATGACGGCAGTGTGGTCTGCAGGAAAATAATCATTGTGCACTCCAATCCCTTAATCACTTCAATTCGGTGGGGGTGCCAGTGTTGAACAACCAGCTGGGGGTCATCTGCAGTGTATATCAATTTGCACGATGCATCCAGTCTCCCTGAGTGTGACATCATGGAACTGTGACATCAGTGCACCCAGGGTTGGAGAGAGATGCACAGTAGCATACCATACTGTCATTTCCATCACATCGACGCAATACATGGAAATCACGTCAAGAGCATCGATAACAGTGAACAGTAGCGAATAATGAGCAAGTGGTGAATTCTGAATACCTCCACTGCCTTTGTTTTGAACATAATCCATGTAATTTTACGTTTATATACTCGGGTTTCCACGGTGGCTGTGTTGGGCAACGGGATCTCGCGAAGCAGCACTGAACTGAGTAGAACCTGAAGCAGGGTGATCAGCAGGGTAAGAAGCATGATTCAAAGTCCTGCTGCTCTGTGTATTTTATTATAGGGAATGTTCCTTCGCGCGGAGTAAACAAACACAAAACCAACTCAAGAAGTACGACTCCATGCGTATTAGTGTTTCAAAACCATCAGTAGCGAAGAGGAGGCTCCTTTGCGCACAGAACGAGGCCGGCCCAGTGTCAAAGACGCCGCCTTGCTGTGAGCGCGCCAGGCGCTGCCGACCACGGGGACGGCACGTCTCCGGGCTCGCGCCGATCGGGGCGGCGCCGGAAGGCCGACCGCGCCCGACCCGAGCCAACACCCCGAGGCCGCTCAGTCCCCGCCGCCCGGCGCCTGACCTTGGCCGGATCCGGGGGGCGGCGGGGTCAGGGGCGAGCCCGGGGCGCCCTCCCCGCCCAGGCGCCGCCCGGACTCCCAGGGAGGCTCCGCCGGGACCCGCGGGCGCGGAGCCCTTCCCCTTCCGGAGCTGAGAAAGGCGGCTCCCCGCGGCGCCGGCGCTGCGCGCGCCCGCCCTTACCTTGACTGGACGCGGCCATGTCGGCGAGCCCGTCTCGCGATGACACCCGCGGGGCTTCGGCGCGGTAGGACGCGGAGCGGCGCGCCGTCATCGCCGCAGGCTGGCTTCCGGCACGTGGGGCAGATGTTTCCATTCCCACGGCCGCAGCGGAAGAGGGCGGGCGGGGCGCCTCGGGCCCCGCCCCCCGGCCGCGCGCTGCGTCACAAGGCTCCGCAGCCCCGCCCCGGAGGGCCGCCGGCGCGCGTGCGCGGGGGGGCGGTGCGCGCGGGGGGCGGTGCCCGCGGGGGAGCTCGGCCGAGGCTGCTGCCCAGTAAGGCCCGGGGGCCCCATGGCTGTGGGAGGAGCCCGCCCGCCTTGGCGCGGCAGCTCCCGGAGCGTCGAGCACGTACTTTCCAGGGCTGTGTCCACGCCGCCTCGGCCCCGGCGGACAAAGACGCGGAAGGGCCACTGCAATTATAATACGTAAGAAGCGCCGTGAAAGCAGCTTCCCTGCCTGCACCGCGTGAGAGCCCTTTAACGCAGTGCGGGGCGCGTCCCCCCAGCGCACCCCGCTCCTAAACCACTCCTGCCCCCACACGAGCCCAGTTAATGGCCAGTTCACCGTTCCAAAAGCTTGGCCCCTAATGCTATGGCGTTACGCTGCCAATTTGTCTTATAAATTTATTTTTTATTGGTGTTCAAATGGCCAACATGCAGTATAACACCCAGTGCTCATCCCATCAAGCGCCCCCCTCAGTGCCCGTCACCCAGTCACCCCCACCCCCCGCCCTCCTCCCCTTCCACCACCCCTAGTTCGTTTCCCAGAGTTAGGAGTCTCTCATGCTCTGTCTCCCTCTCCGATATTTCCCACTCATTTTTTCTCCTTTCCCCTTTATTCTCTGCCAATTTTTATTTGGACTATTTGGGGGGGGTTGGGTTATTTGTATGAATTACTCATATATCCATATGTGTGGTTTTCAAATATTTTCTCCCGTTCAGGAATGCCTGGTGGCCCAGTGCTTGAGCGACGGCCTTTGGCTTGGAGTGTGACCCCGGGGTCCTGGGATCGAGTCCCGCATGGGACTCCCCACAGGGAGCCTGCTTCTCCCTCTGCCAGTGTCCCTGCCTCTCTCTCTGGGTCTCTCATGAATAAATAGATAAAACCTTTAAAAAAACAATAAAAGGTCATTCTCATCACAGCCCTCCTCTACTCAAAAACCTACCATGGCTCCCTATTGCCCTCAGTGGGGAAGGCAAACTTTTGCTGAAGCGCGCCCTTCTCGCTGAGACTTTTCACGACCGTCCTTTAAAATTGCAACCTGGGGCAGCCCAGGGGACTCAGTCAGTGGTTTAGAGGCGCCTTCAGCCCAGGGTGTGACCCTGGAGTCCCGGGATCGACTCCAACCACGCTCCCTGCTTGGGGCCTGCTTCTCCCGCTGCCTGTGTCTCTGCCTCTGTCTCTCTGTCTCTCTGGGTATGTATGTATGTATGAATGAATGAATGAATGAATGAATGAATAAATAACTTTAAAAAAATAAAAAAATCAAATGAAATTGCAACCTGCCATAAAAAAATCAAATGAAATTGCAACCTGCCACATCCCTTCTTCCCCTTCCCCTGCTTACTTTCCCTTTGTGCACAGCACTGGTTTTACCTTCTCACGTGTTGTATGAGCTACTCATGTGTGATAAGTATGGATGATATTAATTTCGTGTATTTTTCAATCCCGCATACCCAGCGCGTGCAAGTAGAACATAGAAGTTTGGAGCAGGACTTATGGAGCCAGATTACATGGGATGAGCTGCTAGCACTTGTAAACTCTGTGACCTTGGCCGAGTTGCCACACTTCTCTGTGCTTCAGTTTCATCACCTATAAAATGAAGACATGAATAGCAGCTGCATTATTTTTTTAAATTTTTATTTATTTATGATAGTCACATAGAATGAGAGAGAGAGAGAGAGGCAGAGACACAGGCAGAGGGAGAAGCAGGCTCCATGCACCGGGAGCCCGACGTGGGATTCGATCCCGGGTCGCCAGGATCGCGCCCTGGGCCAAAGGCAGGCGCCAAACTGCTGCACCACCCAGGGATCCCTAGCAGCTGCATTAAAGTAAGTTACCCTAGTTTGTGGTGTAAAGTACATGCCAGCTATTGTTTCCGCATTCTGCTGTCTGGCAGAGAGAAAGCATCAGCAGATGTTTACCAAAGGGCCTTCTTCCTGCGTGTTTCCAAGCTGGATGGCACCTAATTGCTCCCAGGCACCTTCATACCTGTGTACGACTGGGCTCGCAGTGATAACATTTGTTATAGCAACCCTGGTCAAGTCTCTTCTCGTTATCTCCTATACTTTGAGGCCCTCAGTCCTCCTGATAAACATTAACCTGACTAGGGACTCTGCTTGAGCTCAGCAGCGTGACACATTGGTGTAACCAGATATGTCGTATACCTGGGACAAATGTAGACCTTAAGAAGCATCAGGTAGCGGCACCTGGGTGGCTCAATTGTTTGGACATCGGCCTTCAGATCAGGTCAGGATCCCACAGCCCTGGGATCAAGCCCCACCTTGGGCTCCCTTCCTGGTGGAGAGTATGCTTCTCCCTCTTCGTCACTCTCTCTCAATATTTTTCTCCCTGTCTCGGTGTCTCTCTCAAATAAATAAATAAATAAATAAATAATCTTTAAAATAAAGAAACATCAGGTGACAACAATGCAAGATAAATAGTTTTTTTTTTAATTTTTATTTATTTATGATAGAGAGAGAGAGAGAGAGGCAGAGACACAGGCAGTGGGAGAAGCAGGCTCCATGCACCGGGAGCCCGACGTGGGATTCGATCCCGGGTCTCCAGGATCGTGCCCTGGGCCAAAGGCAGGCGCTAAACCGCTGCGCCACCCAGGGATCCCCAATGCAAGATAAGTTATAAGTGCTATGGAGAAAACTGAAGCCAGGAGGGATTTCAGCAGTGTCCGTGGAAGTAGAGAGCTGAGAGTGTAAACGCAGTGGTCCACATTTAAGCTCACGGAGGAGGCGATTGGAGCCAAGTCTTGAAGGAGGAACGTGAAAGTGGGAATGTGTGGCGATCTGGGGGAAAGTGTTTCAAGTAGAGGATATGGCAAGTGCTAACGTCGAGGTGCAAAACTGTGCTTGATATTTTAAGGAAGAGCAAGAAGGACAATAGCCATAGTGACAGGAGACCCCAGAGGTCTGGAGGAAGGGGCGGTGCAGATCACGGGAGATGCTCTAGGCCATACTAAAAACTTAGGATTTTACTCTGAGTGAGGTTAGAAGCCAGTGGAGGGTTCTAGGCAAAGGACCGACACAATCTGCTTTATAGTTCTAAAAAGAGGGGCAAGGGTAGCAACAGGGAGACTATTAGAATACTGGTTACCCTTGTTTGTGCAAGGGGATTCCAGAATTTCCAACAACATCCAGATCTCCTTTGGCTGCTGCTGCTGCGAAGAAAGAGACTTTGAGTAGGCTACGACTATGGATACACATCAGAGCTCCTCTTCGCCTTGACCTTTCTGTCCCTCCCTTTCTTTCCTTAAACGTTCTGATTAAATCAGCATTCTTGTGCCCCTAGTACTCTCAGAACCCAATGGGTTAAGATTTAGCTCTGCCTCCCTTTTCCTATTCAGTGCTTCCTGTGGCTGCTTCCCACTGCCAAAAAGGAAACAATCTTATCTGTTGCTGCTTACTGCCAATGCTGCTGTAACATCCAGCAGGTAAAGGTCCCTAACATTCACAGCAACAGTTGTGGGACTTTTCATGAAATCATAGAACATTTGCCTTTTTTCTCCTGGGAGCTGAAGCTATTTTAGGGAAGAATTAATCTCTTGTTTCTCCAGTTGAACATTTTCTAGCAATACGAGCCATGCAAGCAGAGCTCTACACCTGCTGCTTTCTGTGCCTTTTGCCCTTCAGCCTTAGTGCCACCAGAAAATACTACCTCGGTGCAGTGGAACTGTCCTGGGACTATACGCAAAGTGACCTGCTCAGTGCGCTGCACGCGGACACAAGGTAAAGGCGTGTTCCATAGGGTCCAGTCAGGATTGTGAGGAGGGGACTGGTTGGAGGAAGGTGCAGACATGACGTTAGGATGGTTGTAATGGTATTAAGCACTGGAAAAGCACTATTGAGGTAAGGTGTGCATGCTGATTGGCAGCCCTTTTCACAGATGCAGACGATTTGTTGATATGTTGGTATGTTTTGTCCATTGCTTCTCTCTGTCACGTGCTGCCACTTTGGAAACATAGTAGAGTAGAGGGAAAATGAAGAGGGGAAGAGCCTGAGAAAACAGACCTTCCCTCAGCCTACTCCAAGCTTCTATACGGAGAAGCAGAGCAGTGAGACCCCATCAGTATTATACACAACTTTAGTCTGTCCTCCTGTGTGGGTGTGGCGTGGTTCTGATATCCTTGCCCAGTTTTGTTTAAGGATAGTATTAGCCAGGATTTCAGAACCTTTTCATTTGGGGGGGGGGGGCCTCCAGTGCATTTTGGGAGACTAGTATTAAATGATTTTTCAATATTATCTATGATCATCAATTTATCTGGAGCTTTCTGCGTCCTCTTCTGTCAGATTTGGTTATGTATATTTTTTCTAGAAAGCAGTCTAGATTTTTCAATCAAGCAGTCTAGATTTTTCTTGATTTCAAGAAATCAAGTCTAGATTTGGTAATGTATTGGTATCAAGTCACATACTAGTCTTGTGATGTTCAACTGTTCTGTGTCTGTAATTATATTTCCTTTTTCATTTTTTTTAAGACTTTATTTTATTTATGAGAGACACACAGAGAGACACAGAGAGAGGCAGAGACACAGGCAGAGGGAGAAGCAGGCTCCATGCAGGGAGCCCGACGTGGGACTCGATCCCGGGGCTCCAGGATCACACCCTGGGTCAAAGGCGGTGCTAAACCACTGAGCCACCCAGGCTGCCCTCCTTTTTCATTCTTATATTGTGGGTGTCCTTTCCCTCTCTTAAGAATATTTCCAGGAAGTTTCTTAATTTTTTTGATCTTGTCAGGAACCGTCTTTTGTTTCTATCAGTTGAAGCTTTTACTCGCATTAAATCATTCCTTCTTCCCAATTTCCTTTGGTTCATTTTGCTGATCTAATTTTGCTAATTGAGTTGAATGCTGAATTTATTTATTTTAAATTTTGTTTTGTTTCCTTTAA